TTTTATATTTTTTTTTTTTTTTTGGCTATCAGTAATTCTTTATGAAACAGTATTATGTATGCAAGCCAAACAAATCATATGGCACATCCCAACAATCCTACATCGTTCTTTGTGCAACTAGTTAACAAATTTCAAGCCTCTTTTCTTCATCTAATCTAGTCCATTCGATTAGTTAACTGCAGCTTAATTTGTGTTAAATCTGATTACCATTATTAACAATTAACTGATTAACATAACTATTCACACACTGCCAGAACAACACAGAAGGTCTTGTGAGAGGCAAAAGTGAGATGTAATTAATGGAAAATGAACAGGCCCTAAAAATCTTCACGACTATTACACATGATTGATGGTCATTACAGTATATGTTGCCATGGCTACATAAGACCAAAATATAGAAACATTTCCTGTTTTTATATCAAACAAGCCATCTGTAAAACACAATCCCTGGTGTATTCATACCAGAAACACCGGGGTCAGACAAGGCCGCAAGGAAAGGGCACAGATCCTTGAAGACTGAGAGAAAGTTTAAGATCAGCTGGGAGGAGAAACATGATCATCAAAAATGATACTTTATTCATACAATCATTTATGACCTCATGATCAACTGGTAAGAATGTAACCGTGAGGCGACTCGTTGACTGTTCAAACACTCAAATTATATCCAGACATTCCTGCAAGCTTTCGTAACTACTGTAGAAGGTCCACTCATTACATGAGACACACTGATAACTAATCATGTTACCACAATGAAAACATTGTGTCCAACCTCTGGCAGCCTAACAACAGTATCTATAGATCTTGGCAGGATCTTGCTATTCGCTCATGATGTCTGGCAGTTGTTTAACACTGAAGGTAACATTTTATAGGAACTTTAACAATGTTCACAAATACCAAAGTGAAACTGACAAATGAAAGCATGTGTTGACCTCACACAGATTTCACAAACATCAGTTTTTTTTCTGAAATGAGAACAATGAGACATGGATATTATTGTTTAGATATGGGGTTTCTTCCAAATATTTGACTGACATTTCATATTGACTAGTCTTTTTTTTCTCGACATTTTTTAGGTTACTGATGACATTGCTGAAGCTCTGCAACAAACGGAACCATTTGCAAGTAAACAAATGTATTACATCTGTGTTGTCTGACATGCAATATTTCTATACATTACATCAGGCTTTCCCGAAGAAGGGTCTGTGAGGTGAATGCAGGGGGTTTGTGAGTTGATGAAAAGCTAATAATTAATTAAATCCATAAAATGAAAAATCGAAATGAGGCTGCAATCAAAACAAAATTCAGATTGCAATGAATGGCTTAGTGCAGGGGTGCCCAACCTCGGGTCTGGAGGGCCGGTGTCCTGCAGTGTTTAGCTCCAACCCCG